GTTAGTTTAAGATGGAGTCAAGCATTGTATAGTTCCAGAAAATACCCATACCTCCCCCACAGAAGGTATTTTTTCTAAGAACTCCACCCCCACCCCTCTGGAAATTCCAATTGTCTATGAGCTTCCTACATTTCTTTAAATTTTTTGGTCCTGCAGAACTCCTCGCACCCCACCCCAAGAAATTTCAATCCCTTCTGTACCAGGAGTATGGAAATTGTCTGAAGCTGAGATTTTAAATTCTGATGTACAGAAACAGTTGCACAGTGTATTTTACCTGGGCATTCATTGTCCACAGTGCAGTTAGAACAGAACACTTGATTAATATTGTGTGGCATCACAGGTGGCAAAAACAAACTGCTGTTGACCATATTACAGCTGAAATGACATTTCTGCGGACCAGTAAAGACATGAATTTTGAGCCTGAAGTGAACTGTTAAATTGTCAAAACCTCAATGTATTTTATAAATAAGCATTATTAACACATCAGTGTATTTGATAGGCAAGGAAGCCCAGAGAAGCAAATAAGGCTTATGTAGAGGACTACCTCAAATACTTAAGTCTTAATGTGCAAGAGAATAAGAATGCTGTCATCGGCACATAAAATGATCATAATTTAGGATAAAAAGGTAGTTAAGCAAAACTAAACACGTGAATGCGCAAAAGCAAAGAAAGGAAAACATAATAATTAAGATTATTTGTTAGACTATAAAACAACGCCATAAAAATTCAACATCTATATTCTGACCACACATGTTGCTTTAGAAAATATCATAAACCAACTGTCCTATGTCCCCTGTCAGTTTCAAAGCCAGTTACAGAAATTTATAACAGGCACAAAAACAACCAACCACAACATCAGATGCCTCACTCAAGGGTTTCATAAAAGCTTTCAACAGGAAGGCAGTAAATCACAGGCAAACAAAACTTTCTTAACTGAACTTCTTTATAAGAAAACCAATTTTCTAGATGATGTAAGCAAAATTATGAGGAGCCCAAAGGTTCCTAACCATGAAATCCTGGGTACCCAGCACTTAAGCTTATATGACAAGAGTCAGTTTTTCCAGTTGCCCAAC